TTCGGTACATAGAACCCATTCCATATCTAGGTTCGATTATAAGTGATCGTTGCTCAATTTATATTCCTTTTATTTTTATTTTTTAATTTTTGTTAGAAAAAAGATCAATCTTATGTTCATAATTAAACACAAGAATAAACAATGAGATTTTGTTGAATATCTACTCTATTTCCCTTGTGTATATGAAAAGAAAAACAAAGAAAAATTTTTTTTTTCTCATACTTGAAATAAATCATTATTTTCAATACTTTCTATACGAAGCACACCAAGAAAAATAAGACATGTACAACATTGTAAAATAACTTGTTTAATTAATGTTAAATTTTCATAACGATCTTCAAAATGACTTAAAAACCAATCAAATAATAATTCACCTAAAAACAAAAGTAATCAAATTCTTGAATTATATTTTTTTAAATTTTTACCAGAAAATTTTCTATGTTTATCATATTGTAAACATGGATGTATTAATATTGATGATATAGAATTATTCTTAATAATATTCGTTGTTTGTAATTGTTCATAAGAAATATCATCAAAATTAGTTATTGATGAAGATTTTTTATTATAACTACCAAAAAATTTTCGTAAAACTTGTCGCACATAATTAATATTATGTATACGTTTATCATTTGATGATGATTGACGACGATTATCAGTATTTATATCCATTAAATTTCTTTTTTTGTAGTATTACTATTAACTGTTGATGATGTTTGATGAGAATGACATGTTGATTTAAAGATTTTGATATTTATATTATTTAATTCTATGACATATAGAATATAGAATGTTGATTTGATTCAACAAATGTAGATGAGGAGGAGATGGCATTTTATCTAATCAAACTATTTTAAATGGAATTTAATTTTCATATATATTTGTGAAAAAAAAAAAAGATTAACAAATAAGAGAAAATTTTAATGATAACATTGATTGTAGCGATAGAGCTTCATAAAAAAAGATTAATTAATTTATTGAATAAGTTTTATCATAGTTTAATGATAGATTAATATAAAAAATATTTAAAAGATTCTTGTTTTTATTATGATTATTCATGAGAGATGTCCTTGAATGATGATAAAATTAAGAAACGAATTGATTAATTAAAGAGCCAATTATATTAAATCTTGGTCAAAAAAAGAAAAAATTATTTTCTGCGAATAAATCGTAAATAATTCTTAACGAGAAAATCTTTCCAGATGTTAAATCGTTTTTCGACCTGGATAATGTTTATTTAATGAATAATAGAAAAGTTTAGCATGATTTGATTTTCCAGATCTTCGTTCTCTAAAGATCGAAATTTTACTGGATTTTTCAACAAAAAAAAAAAGAAAAATTGTAGTGTCCTCTTCAGATTACATAGAAAATTCACATTCGATTTCAAACTTAATACAAAAAAGTTTGGTCATGAGATTATTTGATTTTATACAACTAGTATTTCTTTTATGAAAATGTTAATATATGAACAAAATTTGTTTTTATACATAAGAGAATTTCGAATACAAATATACATATCATATTTATATTACTAGCATTATCTCATATGACAATTTACAATACATAAAAAATAATGTATTATAAAAAAAACGAAGATTATAATTGATCTATTTTCAGATTCACAATGCCAGAAGGTGACGAATTACAGGTTGATAATGATTCTAGAGATACAATTCGTAGAGGTATTATTATTATTATTATCAATTTATTTCATGATTTAATTATATTTTTGTTTAGATACTGATGCTGTAACTACTGAAGCAAAAGATTTAGTAATTGAAATAAAATCTAATCTTGTTATACTTATTTGTGGTATTTTAACAGTATCATTATTATCAATTTTATTATCAACATGGCTAGCAAAAACAATAAGTAATACACCATCATCATTCGGTACTATATTAAGTCATTATTTTGGTTTTGATCGTAATGAAACTGAATCAAATATTACATGGTGGACACCATTACATATTCAATTATCTGAAAAAAAATTTCGACAATTTCTATTAAATAAAACTAATTCAACAATAATATTAAAATCAAATAAAAATTCTTATAATATTCATTCTAATTTTCATAAAATTGTTTTACCTTTTGTTTTTGTCGGAGCAATTATACTTGCTATACTAGCTTATTATGCACGTATTAAATGTACAGCTCGTAATTTTACATTGAGTGCTGTACCAAAAATTCCACTTGGACGTGTTGATCCACAGTTAGCTGCAGTTACTGTTGATTCTATTGTTAAAACAAAACAAGCCGAACCAGGTGTTGATTATACAATTATACAAGGTACAAAACAACAACCAGTTATATTTGCATTAGCTGAAACATTACAACCATTAAAGGAAGAATGTGAACCTGGAGGTTTAATTGATGAAGGAACTCAATATGAAATTGAAGATGTTCCAAAGTAAAGAAAGCAAAAAAAATTATTTAAAATATATTTTTTTTTTTATTCTTTTGTTTTTTTGATATAGAACTATTACACATACTTCATCAGCACCTGATTTACAAACTATTTCAGCTTTTGTATCAGCATCAAATGAGCAACAACATATGATTGAATTATTACAAAGACAACCATTGCCTACTATATTACCATCAACATAATATTTGTGATATTCTATTAAACATAATTGTAATTAATTTTATGCATAATACAACAAAATTGAATTGTAATCTCTTTATATATAAATTCGTTTCTTTTTTTGTAAATTTCGTTGTTTTTTTTTGTGAAAGAATATTTGTTGTTGTTTTTATTAATGCATTTTGCTGTGAATATGACACATTATAGACATCAAAAATTGTTTGTAAAAGTTTTAAGATTGTTTTCTTTTTTTTTTTTGGAAAAATATTCGTCAATAAATTGTGTTTTTGCTCATTTTTTTATACATAATTTGTTTTGTGTCAATTATTTAATATAGTTGAAGTATTTCAAAAACTTTTTTTAAAATTTTTCACATATAGTATTTTCTTTTAATCATTTTTTAGAACTTTAGCGATCTAATATTTCTATATTTCGTTCATAAACAAATTACATCAAACATAAATATACAAAAAAAAATGAAGGATCATTTATGAGTAAATTCTATATTCGATTAAACTATATCATTGCACATTGAGATTTGACTTATTCATATTGACATCGATGTACTTTTCTATTCATGTTAACAATGCTTATTCAATAATCATTAATTCTTCTTGTCTTTATACTTAACATAATAGGTAATTTCAACTCTGTCTATCTTCATATATTATCTTTAAAAAAATATCTCAACTCTACAGGATATGTTATTTTTACAGCAATCTTTCATAATGATCAATTCAATCAACAAAAAAGCAAAAATATTTAAAAAAAAGAAATCAAAATCAACATTAATTTGTCGATACAGCTGGCTGTTTTGCTAATTATGTGACATTATGTATTCAGTAGAGAAACATCAGGTTAGACAGCATGTTATATTGAATGATTTTATTTCATGCTGAGGTACACACGAAAACTGATAATTATTATGTAAATCAACAATTGTCTATAATGTTGATCTTGTTATAAGGTGTGCTGACGTTTCAAGAGACACTTGAACATATCTAACAAAAACGAAAAAATAAAAGAAAAAAAAGAAATTTCTTCATTCTTCGAATGAAGCTAATGATGATAGAGAACTAACTGTGTCTATCTAGACTACCTGCCGTGTAAAGAAAACAAGGTGTGTGTATATATATGTATTTTTCAATTATTCATATTTAGTCAGCACCTTTCGACTAAAAAAATGTCATGCTCTTCGTTTATACTTAATTAGTGAAAGTAAAAAAAGGATTAAAACAGCAGATGATCTTCACGTTATCATGTTCATTACAATATGTTATTTTTTTATATTACTCGTTTTTCTTTTTTTTTCCTTCGTCTTCTCTTCTTTATATAAAGCTATTTACAGATCACGACTTTCTCCTTTTCTTTCTGTCTTCTCTCACTTGTTGACAACAACCAAAACTTCATTTATTTGCCAAGTGTTTTTACCTTCAGTCGAATAAAAAAGAAATATCGATAGACAAGCACGCTCGTAAATGGTGTCGAAGGGCGGCGTCTTCGTCTTCCTTTTTGCTATGTTTATTTGGAGTTTTAACTTTATGCAATGAAAAGATATACATATATATATATATACGAGAAGAGAAGTGATTGATTGACTTTCGTATGTATGAATATACTACGCGTGGCTATATGTATATGTATCCATCTTCCGCAAACAAATATTGAATGAAGACTATAACTAAGACGCGTGAATAGATACACAAGATAAATGATTGTTTTTTAATATTATATAAATTCGATGAGTTTATATTCACAAAAAAAAAAAAAAAAAAAAAAAAACAAAATCCTCATATATATTTTTTTTTCTCGTTCTTTTCATTGGACAATACGACAAGTGCATCTGATAATTATCGTTCTTTTTTTTTTTTATTTTTTCATTTTTTCATTGGTTCGATAATAATTCACACATATATTGCAAGTAATGATCATGCACATCAAATAAAACAATTTCGAGCAAAGAATTATAACACCATTCCCACTTTCTCTCTTATATTCTATTGCTCTTCAGCTGGCACTTTTCCCTCAATAACGGCACACTTATGTCGGAACAGAGAGAGAGAGAGGGAAAGTAAGGAAACGGAAACGAAGCTTCACCATCGCCAACATTCTCATCTATAATTGCGCACTGGCTGGTTGGTAGTGGCAAAAGCAACGCAGTCAGTGCGCTATGCAATAACAAGCACATTAGAAGAACCTATCAGAATACGCGCGAGCATTATCGCGCGTTTGCAATAAGAGAAAGAACAGGAGCACGAATAAAAAAGTGAGAAAATATATAGAGAGAAAAAAAGAAAGAGAAAACGATAGAAGACAAGAGAAGAGAAGAGAGAGAAAGACACAGAAGAAGAAAAAAAAAAAAGAAGACACTACGAAAGAAGACGATACTCCCACATCTGAATAGAAGAAAATGATGATGAGTAGTAGTACTACAAGCAATATTGTTGAAGACGAAACAATGACTGGTAAGTTTTTTATTAAAATTATTTAAATAAATTCTATTTCTTTTTTGGGTTCATTTTCTTTTTATTATTTTAAAATAGAATCTGATAATCGTAAAAGTTTTCTTATATCAAGTCTTTTATCTGCAGCATCATCAGCTGAATCAATGCTTGAAACTGAAGAAGATGATGATGATGAAGAAAATGATATTGATAATGATGAAATGGTTAAAGATATTGAACATGATGAAGATCATAATGAAAAACTTCAAAATGATTCAACACAAATTCTACATCGAGCTTTCCCTAAAATATCTCCATCATCCATGATATTTCCACGTTTAATGTCTTCAAATGATTTTTCATATCTTTATTATCTTAGTTATCATTATTTTGCTATGCAATTATCAAAAAATGGTCAAATACCACCATCACCATTACCTTTAACAAATCCATCACTTGTTGATACAAATATAAATTCAATAAAAAAACCTTTAAAATCATCTTATCCATTAACTCCAACATCATCATCATGTTCATCATCACCACCATCACCAAATCTAATAACCGCAACAGCAACAACAACAACAACAACAATACCAACAACAACATCAACGACAACAACAATTCTAAATTCAAATACAACAACTAATTCACGTTATCAATGTGACGGTTGTTCAAAATCTTATTCAACATTTGGTGGTCTTTCAAAACATAAACAATTTCATTGTATTGCACAAATTAAAAAACAATTTCAATGTAAATTTTGTGAAAAAACATATAATTCATTAGGTGCACTTAAAATGCATATACGTACACATACTTTACCATGTAAATGTAAAATTTGTGGTAAAGCATTTTCACGTCCATGGCTTTTACAAGGACATGTACGTACACATACAGGAGAAAAACCATTTCAATGTGAAATATGTTGTCGAGCATTTGCGGATAGATCGAATTTACGTGCACATATGCAAACACATTCGGATATTAAAAAATACCGGTGTACAAAATGTTCAAAAACATTTTCACGTATGTCATTACTTAATAAACATACGGAAAATTGCTTACAACAACAACAACAACAACAACATGTAACGACTGCAACAATTCATTCTTCAACTGATGATTGTACCAGTACAACAACGATTGTGCCTGCTGCATTTTCGCTTTGACATATCCTTCAAGTATTTGGCAAGTATTTTGTCTTGTTGTTGTGTTCCCTATTCATTCTGTTGTATTTTCAATTGTTGTGTATTTATTTCATTAACTGACCTTCACATAATTTTTTTTTTTGTCACACATTTTCTTTTTTGTTCTTTTCACATTATAAAAAAAACAAAGAATACAAAAAAGATTCATCATAAGACGTTTTTTTTTATTTATTTTATATTCATGGTCCAAAATTAGTAATCGAAGTCGTTGGTGGTACTATTTCAATCGACTCTTTATTCTCTGTTCGTGCCTTCTCGCTCTCTCTCTCCCTCACTAACTTACTGACACACACACACTTTTTTTGGATCCGATGCTGCACTTGAATGAGCGATCTAGCAGGAAATGAACACTTGGGTCGTGCGGCGCGAGCTCAATACCTGTACCATTTAGTGCTCTCTTTTTCTATCGTATATTTCAGTGTGAAGTACTTTCGTTTGTATCACCGTCGGGACGACAATGAATTGTGCTCGACGGACATACAAAAAAAAGGAACTTCCGTCTCGGAGAGCTTCCCGCCGTCCGTCAATTTTTCATCATCTTCTTTTTTCCCTTTTTTTTTGTGTTTTTTCGATCGATGGTTAGAGCCTTCGTGTGACAAGTTGTAATTGTTGTGAGTTTGCGTAAGGCTTAAGATTTACCGCCATGATCATAGCCGGCGACGATTGTTGTTTTGTGTCCTGTTTACTTGCTCTAAGAGAAAAAGTCACTTGACCAATGTACATACATGTAAATCTATGTGTGTATGTCATTATCGATTTTCTTTTTTTTTTTTTTTTTTGAGAACAAACGACTTATGCGATCATAAATCACTTTTTCCTTTCGATCTCAATCGATATATATATGTATATGTATTCTGCAAAAAAAAAGTCGAACAACCGTTAAATTAAACATAAGCATAGTTCCGCGTTAATGAGTGTTAATGATGAAAAAACAGACTTCTCAATTGTTGCCGCTTCCGCAGGTTGGAAGAAAATAAAAACTAGTGTATGTCTGTATGTGATAGCCAGATTCGATTGATTTAGATTGACGTTTGTTCTGTATTATATAGAGCAAGGGTGGAGAAGATAACCTGCTTGACTAGAACTATATGATATGGTCATGTATTTGCTACTGATATCTTGTCAAGGCGCATGTTCGATGATTATGGTGATAATGACTAGAAGAAGCAAAAAGAAAAAGGAAGAGAAGACATGTAGTCGTAGTTGGAAGAAAGATGAGCAGCCACATTATCCACCATATATACATAAAGAGCGGCAAGCCTAAAAGGAAATAAATAGATCTCATCATTTTCTTCCATCATTTCTGTTTCGTCGTTGTCAGTGCCCATAATTGTTTATACTTATCAACACTCCAGAGACGAACAAGTATCGATCTATCTTGCCCTTTTGCCACTGTCATTTGGCAGCTTTTGCTTTTTGCCAACCTGCTCGTTTCTTATTCTCTTTCTCTTTAGTAATAAAACTTGCCCATTATTACCATTATTGATTGGTTCGTATAATAATAGAGGTTCATGTGAGCACGTCTGCTGGTATTATTGCAACTGATCACTCGGCGAGAACGCGTTCGAATACTGTTTATTATACATATACATGCATATATACATATATACATACACACACATATATATATATATATGGATAGAGAAAACCAACAGACAAAAGAGAAAATGTCGGTTGATTGACGACTCGTGTGTGTCGAGCACGTACAATAACCGATGATGACGAGTCAAAAAATTAACTTGTACACATCACATCCTAACGACGTGCTTTTCTATCATTTTACACAACCTGTATGATGATGATGAGCATCTGTAACTAAAAGAAAAGAAAATGAATGGTTAGTAATATATAATATTACGTGAGAATTTTTTGAGTGATATACCAGACTGTAACGTATTGTTAGAAGTTATCTTTCATCTCATTCGTAATGAATTGTTTAATGATCAATACTTTATTTTCATTGGAGTTCATCATAAGTGTTTAGTTTTATTTATATATATATATATATAGAAATTCCCAGCGGAACAACGACTTCCTTTCTTTTTGTTTCGTTTTGATATTTATTTGATGTTAACCAATCATATGTTCAGGATGACTGATAATTTTTTCGATTTCGTTTTCTTCAAATTATTTTAATGATCAGTTAACCGAATAAAATGCTTTGATGATGTGCATATTGTTCAATCGGAATATATTGCCTTTTTTTTTCTGCTTATATCAATGATGATAGATTATTCAAGAGAAATCAACATGTATGAATGCATGCTTATAATAGAATGAGAACGAATAGATCTATTTAGCACGTGGACCAATAGCTATACTAAATACGTTTGGGAGAGAAATCGTATGTATATGTGTACGAACCAACGTCTTTTCTAATTATCAATTGACATATAGCAAGGGACATTGGACTTGATGATGACAGGCATCATCACTTTCACTATCATCGAATGGTCTGTTGTTGTAATTCCAATGGTATATAAGTTAGTGTAAACATTTTGTCTTTCAACACTTGTTGTTTCTTATACTAGCCTGGCTATTATATGCTCATATTGATGATAAAAAGAATACAAAAGAAAAATCAATTTTGAGTTGGTGACATTTGTATATATATATATATATTCGTGTATAAGACTAGGAAAGGGCATATAATACGTAATCATTGATGATATGATAAAGAAGAAGAAAAAAAAAAACACAAAAATTCTTTTAAAAATTCAATTATTTTTCTTTTGTTTTTTTCTTTTAACAGACCCAACAATAATTAATGTTATAGTTTTTAATAGGATATCTTTTGTACTTATAACGAATCCAGGACCTTCAGATCATGTTGACTTAGAGCACACATTTTCCTATATGGTTGATTTACCCTTCTGTTTCTTCTACTATTTGTACATATTGGCATAAAAAAAAACGATGGCGCAGCCTTTTATATTCTTATTGCTAGTTACTTTTCCTGATATATATATTCTATCTATTCTAAAAGGTTTGTATCCGTCAAGCAGAAAGGTGGATATTGGCGTGAAAAATGACTTTCTAATGGCACCCCTCAACACACTAGCTTAGCATCAGCAATAACTAAACGGGCGTGGATTTGCCATGCACATACACATAATAATAATTCGTACACAATTTTCTTGACGTCGTCCACCGCTCGGCCTCGATCAATCATTTATTTTTGCACATACAGAAAGACGACTTATCCATATGGATAAAAAAACAAAACTCCAAAAAAAAAAGAGAGAAGAAATGATGATTCTTCTAAATGTATATTTGATGCTTTAAATCTGTAGATAAATGAGCAGTATCTATCAACAGGTGGCTCGTTTCCAAATAAATATGTATATAGTATATACAGAGTGGTTACCTAAGCAAAACTGCACACGCACACACGTCTAAATGACGGGATAAAAAGTGAACGCTCGTCATATGAAATATAAACACATCAATTCATCATTCGTCCATCAAGATGATACTTTTTTTTTGACTGTTGCTTATAATGTCCTTCATTCCGATGGAACAAAAAAAAAAGAGAGTTACTAATATACAATCAAAGACATCAAGATAAAAATACTATTTCAATTTTGTCCAATGATTAATGGACAATAGCATATTCTCATCATCACATCACTATCTTTTGATTTACTTTATGCCATTATGGAAGACTTAGTAATTATATATATATATATGTATGTGAAAAACACTAATCACAGAACATGGTCTTGTTATCACCTTCTATTGATCTTTCAAGTCAATGCACCGCATACATATATACACACATATGCTTGAACAACCTTTAGTTATAAAATGAAGCAGGCGACAGTAAGCAGAAGCACCACCAATGTCCATATATATATATATATATATGTTAATAATCATTTTTATCGATAAGTAGAACAGACATATGATAAAGAAAGCAAAAAAAAATAGATTCGAACAACAGGCATACGACGATTGTTACTTAATGAATATATGATGTATAATGTACGCTAATTATTTTTTAAGATTTTTCATATATATATTAAACGAAGACTAATAAATAGATCAAAGCATAAAGAAAAAAAGACGAAGCATATACGAATGAGTTTTGTTTCTTTCTGTTCATCATCATCAAACTAACACCAGCATAACAAAAGATAGAGATCTTGTTAAGAAAAGAAAAATTCATTTAAGCTCATCTTTGTTTTATGTTGATACAAATCGGTAGCGGCGGAATGTTGCTCATCGGATTGTTTAATTTTTTTTTTGTGCCGACGCGTGTGTCTATATGTCTTATCAGATCATACATTGATGACGAACTTTTCAAGACACTAGAGATTTCTTAGAAAATTTTTGTTTGATCTTATATACGTGCACGACTGTACAAATATACGAACATGATCAAATTACTATTCTAGTAAAATAAACGTATTTAATTGGTAAAGAATTTATCAACTTATTATTGTTCGAAGTTATAATTATTGACAATATTCCTTAGAGACAAAAAAAATGATTTCATATGGGTTTATGATTTGAAAAATTAAAACAGAAAATAATTATGAGACAATTTACTGTTTTGTTTTGTTTTCTTTAATTTACATAGCAATGAAGGAGAGCAATTATGATTTATTCTTCCGTGATATTAAATATATGGTTTTTTTTTCAAATGATTTTCTAGTTACCTACTTATAACAATTTTATTATTGACTAAAGTTTTTAATACATGAGACGATCTTCTCTAAAAATCAAATTTTTTTTAATATTTATGTCGATAATAACATCTAACTTCAATATGAACAATATTGTGCTTTTGTCATCATAGCAATGCGTTAGTTATGAGTTAGAAAACTCTTGAAAAAAAAAGCTAATAAGGAACAATAGTTTATTGAAAAAAAATTCTTTAAATTCTCTATATGAAAACAATAACGTTCGCGTAGTTATAGGACCTCATTGATGGAATGCACATCGGCACGAGTCAAGCA